TATATACAGTTAAATGATCAATTACGAAATTGTGATAGTGAAGAGGCGATACGAGGATATAGGATTCGTGAATAGCCCATGACAGAAGGAGAAATACCACAATTGTTTCGCAGACAATTAGTCAAATGCTCGGCTTCTCTTGTCTCTTCGATGAGTTGTATTGCTATACTAAAATAGCAAGACTCACTGACGGTGCCTACTCCAATGCCGGCGAAACTTCTGGGAATGTACCATATCCATGGTCTGACTCTGGAAATGATCAGACATACTATGGACTCCGGCTTAGGTGCGTTCCTCTAGGTCTTCCCACAAATATGCGAAAACAAGATCAAATAACTTTTATACAACAAAAGGATACTGTGACCATAAAAAAGGACACACCATCTTGGTCCTTATACCTTTATTTATACTCTAATGTTGCCTAAATCAGTGTGTTGGTAGCAAAGCACTGGGGAAATAGAAATTGAGACTTCACGGCTAATCAGAAGAATAGAGATTCGATCAAAATTAACAAGATGAACAATATCCAAAATATAAGGAATTAAACGAGAATTACCTCTGGCTATTAGATATAATTAAGTAAAGGGAGATCAAAGGTAGTTGCCGAGTAAGAGATGGATATCTGACTAACCTGGAGTTTGATATTGGCCTACAATTATCAATTGACTCATGAATAAAGCATACACCCAGTGGACATTCATCTATAAACCTAAAATAAGCAGCAGCATTGCAGGATTACCCGTTAGTTTATTTACAAAAAGAAAAGCATTGACCACATTCACACCCCTTTCATGCACCGACTTCAATCGTCTGCATGCATGTATGCATGTAGGATGGGGCATGAAGTAGCCAACTAAATCATGGGATGCCTCGTTAACATGGCAAAGTTATATAAAAGAAGTGAGTAGGATTTCATACAGACTCCTCTCTTGGCTTAATGATTTTTGGTGATCCTTTGCAAATAAAAGTTTCCGGTTTCAAAGATGTCCTTAAAAGATCACCATGGATTCATCGGAATCACAGGAGGCTAAGCCTAGGCACCGTGGCACCCATGGTTAGTTAGTAGTGGCCACGTTGTTACGACACTCACGATCCGGTATTGAATCCCATTTGGATTGTTAATGAGACATATACGAGGTCGAAGTAGCAGCTAGCCTTTTGGGAGGCAAAGTTACATGATGAGACGTAGATAAATAGCGTGCTGTGAGAAAAAAAGATAGAAGTTGCACTGATGATCGCGTTATCACGATGGTTAACTTACCGTGAAAATTCTAGACAAGAGACGCTCTGCCTTGGGACAACTTGGGTTGATCATTTGATGGGGTAACAAGCCAACCAGCATCTCGAGGAGACGAAGTAGACTCCACGTCACCTGGTGGTTAGCGACCACCTTGCTGATCCATGAATAGCGGATACGTGAGAGGGGTGAGATACGCATCTAAGAATATAGCAGAGAATGAGGCAGAGTAAGATGCAGACCTGACTATTAGATTAAAATCAAGGGATAGATATTCGTGTAAATAGTAATTCACGATACTGTAGGAAGGAAGAAGATTAAGGTACACTAAGATGGCTTAGATAAAAACAGGATAAAGTTAGGGCCAGATGGCTTTCATAGCAAATAGGGGATTAGAAGGGTGAGAAGTTAAATTGGTAGAAGATTTAGATAAAATACAAAGTTTACTATAGTTTGAAGTAATGGATAAATGGATGGGTTAGTAAATCGTATAAAAAGACT